ACTTCACTAAGTCCTCAGGGAATTCCATCACTCTATCATGAGGCTGTAACCCAGCCGAAGCGTGCCCCAACTACATACAGATCCTGTGGGACGTTGCTTTTAGCTCGCCGTTTTTTTGGGGGGGGTTCTTTGTTTTAGGGTGGTCGTCGCCTGCTACCTTGGAAACCTTGAAGACACACACACACACACACACGAAACAGTCTGGTACAGTCATTGAGTGTATAGTGAATATGACAACACACACACGCAAACACAAAAAAAAAAGAAGAAGAAAACCTGCATGTCAGGTGTAGATGTTGCACGTGACGAGATGCACATTCGGACAGGGTTGATTTCGTTATTCTCAAAAGCAGTACCAACCCGGACGTGTTCTTTGCGAAGAGGAGAAAATATTAAAATAATCATTTTTATTTGGTGTTCTGAAGCATAGTGGAAATGCATCCAGATTCAGGCACTTGATCCAATTCTCTTTGCTACTAGAGTAGTGGGACCTGGCCCCTGGACGATTCACCTCCTCACCTGACAGATGATCTTTTCGGCTCTCTTTTTGCTTTTTAAATTAACCTACCTTTTGCCTAGTGAACTGTTCTCATCCCTCTATAGTGTAGTGACTGATCTTTTTTTTTTTTTTTTTTTTTTCCTTTTTTTTTTTGTAGTGACTGATCTCGTAATGGTAGCAGCACGTTAAGTCCCTAAGCCTTAGGGCCTGCGTGAATCTGAACAGCCAATCTGTTCCGATGCATTCAAAACGTTGGAGGACGGTGAATAGTGGAACTCGGCCCTAAGTGAGCTAATTGAGAACTGGCCTTCAGCGGACAATGTGTGGATGTGGCTTACAGCTTGTTGGCGCAGGTGTCGTGAGAATGAGACCTTGCTGCCTGCTCGTGACCGGACATGCCCAGACTGGTGGCTTGGGAACAAAAACAGCAAATTGAGCGAAAAAAGGGAGAAACGAACATGTTAGTGTTTTTTTTTGTTTTTTTTTTGTTTTTTTTTTTTGACCATTTCTCGATTTATGCATGTCATCCTTGCGCAGGGGCCATGCTAATCTTCTCTGTATCGTTCCAATTTTAACGGATGTCCCGAAGGACACATGTTAGTTTTCAGATCCATGTGCGGAATGGAAGGTCAGCCGGCACCAATTGGACTCTGTGTCTCGGCTGTCTGCGCTAGACTGGGTCATAACTTCGCTGTCAGATCAGTAATAATGTGCAGCAACAGACAGACTCTGAGGTGCTTTTTCTGGGGGTGTTGTTTTGCAAGGGCTTCTTTGTCTTCGTCGCTGAGGAAGAAGGTCCATGAACCTGGTCCAAGAAGAAGGCCAGCTTCGGTCCTGAATTAGGTCGCATGTGCGATGTTATCCGTGTCACTGAAGGAATAAGGAAAAAAACAGGTTCAGACTAAACGTGAATCCGGCCTTCTTTGTGGACCACCTTCATGGTGTACCGTTTGCTTAAATGTCTGCAAGCCTATGCCGCTTGGCCTTCGTTTCGTCGAGTAAAGAGTCGTTTAACCTCGTTCAATGACGTTAGCTTCCGGTCATTACAGCTGTCCAGTCTGTTCCAGGGGGTTGCCAGTAATGGGACCGACCTATTGTTTTCATCTGTTCATTGGGCATCCCCCCCCCCAAACCCCACCCCACCCACCCACCCACTGGTCCAGTGGGATGAGGCTGAGGCTTGCTAATGGGGGCGATGCAAATGCAAAGAATGCGTTTTCCCGAAAATAGGTAGCGGCCTTAGTCGAAATAACAGCAAAGCGTCTGGATTGAGCCCCCAGGAGCTGTATTTTGTTGTGCCTGAGAAGTGCAGAGTGAATCTGAGCGGTTCTTCGCTGAAGTACAGACAGGGTCTTTACTTGCTACTGGCTGACAGTGTCTATTTGGTAATAACCAGTGGAATGTGCTCGCCATCTTGTTTTTGTCGTCGACCGAGTCGTTGTTCACGGATTCATCGAGTCGAAGGATCTCCCGAAAGAAGAAAAGAAGTTGTAGGCACAGTTGTCAGAAAAAGAATATGAACATATTGAATCGCAAGAGCGAGCAAGTGGTCGGACAGCCGGTCCTGAACCTGGTCCAAGAGGAAGGCCGGATCCGGGCTTGTAGTCGGAAGCAAGGGTGTTGGGTGACTCTTGCGACCGAAGAAGCATTGGTGCAACTGATTCTCTTACGAAACGGGTCGGCATGCGCTTGGGAATGATATGCCTACTTTAACTGATAATTTTACTATGGTGGGGATTTCACACTCGTGGACTTCATTTTTTTCGAGGTCTTCTTTTATTACCTCAAGGTGTACCTTTGCCACTAGCCCCTTTTTCTACTACTTCTTGAGCTAGTTTCACGCACTCTGAGCTTCTAGGAATGCGTTTATTTGAATTATTTTTCAATATGATGGCTGGGCATAGTTTTAGAGTGAAGATTTTTTTGTGTGCTAAATTGCTAATGCCTGTTTAGCTCGATCCGCAAGAAAAGCAAAAGGAAGTGGTTCCACATCCCATCTAACTTTTGTTTCCATCGAACTTCAGTGGTCGAACTAATTCCATTTTCGAACTAATTCGTCGAAGAGTTGTCCATAGTGACACGGAGAATGGCTGTATGCGATACGTTCCGGATTGTTTATACCATGCTAATCTTCTTTCTCTGTATCGATCCAATTTTAGTGGATGTCCGGAAGGACACGTTCCAGATTCTTTAAGCGCTCTATTTGAAGGGAAATGGAAGATGCGGTTTTGCTACGAAGAGGGATTTCAAACGGAGATGCCTGTGAGCAGTGACAAGGCACCTATGCTCTCGTGAAGGCATCTAGTAGTATGTTCAACAACGTGGTTTGTCAAATGAAGGCGCACCTAATATGCTCTTGTGAGGCCTTGTCCTGTTAAGAAAAAAACGTTTTTTTGTGTCTGTTTACAACTTTACGTATATAGTTTGTCCACCTACTGGCCTACTAGCTCAGTTGGTACCCCCCCCCCAGGACTGAACTGTTGAAATACAGACCAGGTGCTGAGTTCGAACTTTGCTGGAAGCAGACGAGTGAAATACTATTCTGAATTTCCTTGGGCCGGTCAGCTCGGGCTGATAATATCTCAGGGCAGTCTGACTTTAAAAAAAAGGAAGGGAAGTAGAAAAGAAAAGGAAGAAAGAAAAGCATCTAGTTCATCATGTTGGGGGTGTCTCAATTTCCCTCTTTTTTTTTTTTGGGTATTCTGGGAAATTTGAGATGTTGAAAAAGCATGGATGACGCCTCCAGATACCAACCGGGAGTAATGTCGAGGCTCCCCGGGCCTCTGGTATCTATTTGAAATGAAAGACTGAGGTTTTGAGTTAAAAAAATATAAAAAATAAAATAGATGGTAAAAGCCACTGCATTACATTTTGTTGTGGCTTTGTGTTGTTGAATGTTCATCCCATAACAGCTCGATGATGTTTGAATTTGGCCTATATGTAAGGTGTTGTTCATCCCATAACATTTCTTTGATGATATGTTTTTCTCTTTCTGTCTGTACGATTATGGAGGAAGAGGTCGTTGACAAGGAGCAACTGGGAAAGCGTCCAGAGCGGACGGAGACGACTTCTTATGTTGCAGTTGTGGAATGTGCTGTTGTTTGTGAAAGATATGTGAACCTTCAAGACTGTAAGAACCTCTTTGAATATTAGGAAAAATGCTAAAATAGGAAAAAGTTTACGGAAAAAAAGAAAAGGTACGGGAACTGTAACGACAGAAGAATCGGAGAAAATTCGGTGCTATGGTGTAATGTCCGAATGGCTGTTTGACCCATGGAGTCTGATTATGTTCTGTATGATGGTCATATGGATGGATGGTGATGCGTTCCATGTGTGGATTTGGCATGTTCACGTGCACCTGATGGAGCGGCATTCAGGCGGACTGTGAGCAGTATTCTTTCAGGTGAATTCCGGAACCGATTGGACGATTTGGTGGGGTCTCTTCTACAGCGACAAGCTATTGCCCGGGAAATTCAACGACTTCGACAGCAGCAGCAGGTGGAACGGCAGCAGCGACTGCAGCAGCAGCAGGAGGGTCCAGTTTCACCTCATGCGGATGGGACCCGGCAGCATGAGGCTCAGCAGCAGACACCACAGCAGCATCAGCCTGTCGAACAGTCCGGGCAGGTGCAGCAGCAGGTGCAGCAGCCTGCTCCCCAGCCAGCTGCGCAGCAGTCTGCTCCCCAGCAAACAGTGCAGCCATTGTCTCGTCAGCAATTGGTGCGGCAGTCTGCTCCCCAGCAAGCGGCAGAGCAGTCTGCTCGTCAGCAAGCAGTACAGCAGTCTTCTGCCCAGCAAGCAGTGCAGCAGCAGCGGCCCGGACCACACCAACTTGCTCGGCAGCAAGCAGTACAGCAGCCTGCTCCCCAGCAAGCAGTGCTGCAGCAGCCTGAACCGCAGCAGCCTGCTCGGCAACAGTCGGCACGGCAGCAGCCTGGAAGCCAGCAGGCCCCGCTGCAGCAGCCTGCAGGCCAGCAGGATCCACGGCAGCAGCAAGTGCAAGAACAAAATGCTCATCAGGAAGCACAGCCACAAGATGAGCTCCATCAGCAGCAGTCACGGGTCACACCCCGACGTCAGTCTCACCGCCATCCATTGCGTCAGCAGAGACAGCAACAGTCTCCAGCACAGCAGCAGCAACAGCAGCAGAGGCAACTACCGTCGCCTCAGCATCAGCAGCGAAGGCAATCATTGTTGCCTCAGCAGCAACAGCAGCAGAGGCAATCGTTGGTCTCTCAGCCGCGGACACATCAAAGGCAAGCGCCAGCATCGCAGCAACAGCCATCGTCACAACTGCAGCAGCAGTCGTCGCCACAACTGCAGCAGCAGTCCAGGCAACTACCGTCGCCGCGTCAAGCCCAGCAGGAGTCTCGGCAGCAGCAGTCGAGGCAATCGCGATCATTACAGCAGCAGACACCATTACCACCGCAACAACAACGATCAACGATGCAATCGTTGCAGCCGAGGCGGCAAGCTCAACAGACACCTCAGACGCAACAGCTGAGAAACCAACCACGTCAACAGCAGCAACAGCGCGTGGAGCAGCTGCCCGATCCGGTGGACCAGGAGATTGTACAACAACCAGCACAGCAGCAGCAAGGAGAGCAACCGCCAAGTCCGATCGCAGAACACTCTACTCCTGCCTCTGTGCAAGGGGGAGGTGGATCAGTCTCGTCTGCCTTGGCTCGGCGTATTTATGCGCTTCAGCAGCAAAGTAACACACTTCAGCAGCCGCAGCCGCAGCCGCAGCAGCACCAGCAGCCATTGCAGCAGGTACAGCAGCAATTGGCAGAAGTGCCCGCGGACGCAGGTGAAGGCTCTGTGATGCCATTTCCCAGGAGGCTGAGTCTCGTTCAGCAGCAGCAGCAACAACACATCCAGCAGGTGCGGGAGCAGTTGACACATGTTCAAGAGCAAACTGGGAACGGGTCTGAAGCTCCTCTGGCAAGACGCCTGAACTTCATTCAGCAACAGCAAGAGCACTTACAGGAAGTGCTTCAAGCAGCTGCTGAGACCGCAAATGAGCAGGTACTTGTCCATGAATAGTCCCAAACTGTTGGCGTGAGGCATGCAGGAGCAGTTAGTGTGCTCTGGACCACCAGTGAGCCTCGCTCATTGTTCCTCTCTTTATCCATTGTCATCCGTAATTGCCTGTCTAAAGGGAAGAGTGAAGGGATCTTCTGTGTGCCATCTCTTTTCCTCTTCGGTGTGCATGTTCTGTCCTTTCCGTCCAGCTGTGATACTTCATGAATGATGTTGCATGTTGTGTCATGGGCTATGCATGGTTGTACATAGAGTCCCTATAACTGTACTAACCATACTCGACGCTCTCAATTTCTTTTTTTTTTTCTTTGCACAGAACCTTATGGTTCTGGCTCCTTGTCCATTCTGGGGAGCATCGGTCCGGTTGCTATTCCACTGGCAAGGCAAGAGAATGGAGTACGAGTACGCACACCAACGCTTCTCCCCGTTATGGTGGAGAGATTTCGAGAGCGTGGCCCATTTTGTTATGTTTTGTTCACATACATCTCGTTGCGTCCTGGTTTGCAAATGATGATGGCACGTACTATTCGGTGCTCCGTCGTGGCTACCTACGGAAGCTGCTTCTTTTCCTATGTTCTTGTCTCTCTCTGTAATGCAACAGTGCAGAGATTGTCCGGGTCACAAGAGAGAAGAGAAGTGTAAGGAAGTATATGTTCTTCATGCTCATCGTCTGTGACCTGTCTTGTTGTGCAACTATCGTCTGCTTCTTTTTCACTCGCATGCTCTTTGCTGGGTTCGGCGAGAAGGTAATTGATGACGGATTGGTCGTTTCAGGGTCACAAAACATCCGATGAAACATTGCAATGGACGGATCGCTTGATTGGTGGATGAGTTGGCTAGTTGTTTGTTGTTATGGATTGACTATTTTGCTGTTTGTGGATGCTTTTTCCAGGTTGAGAGGGAGAGTGGAGCTGATATGAGGGGGGAGATGGCAAGGCTCCAACAGATGATGGGGCAGCTTCGCCAGATGGTGGAGTCATGCATGGAGATGCAGATGGAACTCCAGAGATCAGTGAGGCAAGAAGTGGCTGGAGCCTTCCAGCTGATGTACGATGGTGGCAGAGGTAGGTCATCGTGGAAGAAACCGGAGGGCTGTCAGGAGAAGGTGCTTGCAGTGAACCTGGACGGGTCTCGGCATCTTGTGTGCGACATGGTTCAATCCAATCCAGCAGTCGGCGCATGGGAGCAGAGAGCGAAGGGGCAATCTGTTATCAGTAGCTATTAGAATCATGTATTTGTCGAATCCGTATCGAATACCTTCAGACGTTTTCACCAGACGTTTCCCAATTGTATAGGGCATGGGAAGCCAGCCAGCCAGCCAGCCAGCTAGCTAGCTGTAGCTTGTATTTTGACGATCCAGTCTCGCACTGTACCGTAACCGATTGCGTGGCTATATCTTGCAGTGCCGATCGAGTTCATGCACACGGTTGAGGGTACATCATGTCGAGTCGTTTGTTGGAACCCGTTCTCCGGTGATCCAGGGCAAGTACGGCGACCCATCGCATGGGATGGTCGCATTCCCCGGAACCCCCTCGTAATCATCCCAAAGTCGTTTGTTCGAACCCCTTCTCTGCTGTTCGAGGGCAAGTACGGCGACCCATCGCATGGGATGGTTGTAATTACCCCAAAGAAAGATCGTTTGCTTAAACGCAATGCGCACCTGCCTTTGCGAAGCATTGTCTGCATCCGGGATTCCGGGCCTTGTGTGTATATGTAATGTGCAAGCTAGCAATGCGCATATAACGTAACGATACCAAGGCGAGCATCAAGGGACATTCGATGTCTCGTGTCGCTTTTAGTCTCTCGCTGCCAAGTCTAGGGCACGTTCATGTTAGCAAGGTGACGAGCCCATGCGTCGCATCTTCTTTATGGCTAACATGCTACCATGTGCATGTTGTTTTACCTATTCTGTCAAAGTACTATGACAAACTATCATATGGCATATGCTGTCAGTCTCTGTCTTACTCGTTGTTCAAGCTTTACGTGTTTCCGATAAGCGTCTGTGTGGCAAATTATCTACTACGTCTGTACCGGCACCGGCATCATCCTAGCCCACAGCAGTGGCACTGCTGGTGCTGTTGCTCTCTGCTTTCTGGTTCTTTTTTTTTCCCTTTAAATCAGACAGCCACACGGATTTTTTCCGGCATATGGGTACGTCGGCCGGGTTAACCCATCACTCGCGGAAAAATGTATACTTAACTCTGATTCTACTATCATTCTAGCCTTCGTTTTATGCCTCGAAGAGCTTATGCAAGTCGTTGCACCATGTACATATGCCAGCTGCTTCAGGGTGTTGGTAGTGCTATGTAGCTGCGTTATATATATTATATTTATGTATGCGGGGTAATGAAGACAATAGGTAGTCTCCCATCTATGTTGTTTGCATGTCAAGTTTTCGAATGTGATGCATGTGCACACGCATATACATACGTGCGTATACAATACTATACATACATACGTTGCAGATTTACGTACGTACATAAACAGAACACCATACCGTTGAATACCAGGGCTTTCAAGCTGGTTGGCTTCTAGTGTGTTCCCGGTTGGGGAGATCGTCTGACGGCAGCTCCTGCATATGTGATGAAGTACTCAAAACAGTTGGGCTTGCGATGGCGTTGCATTGCTGATGTTTTCCCTGTCACCTGTTTGAACTCTTAATTTATCGGCAATTACATCCTCGTCAATGTTGCAATGGAGAAATGAAGATGTGGCAACTACCTGCATGACAGATTATCGTGGCCGTCAGTGTGGGATGGGCGTGTTTGTTGAAGCGCCTCGCGAGCTTTGGAGATTGAGGACTTACTCCTGTGCAGAGTTGGTGTCTCTTCCTTTTTGGATATAATACGAGCGTGCGGCGAGAGCGTGTTTATGCGTGTCTGCGTTCTCCTGCCGAGAGCTTACATTCTGCCAATGAGCATGTCAGAGGAGGAGAGGCGAGCGGTTTGGTCTATGTTGTGTATAGTGAGACACGTGTTGTCTACTTGTAGTGAGGTAGGGGCTAAGGGATAGAACAAGGGAAATTTTGTACACTACCATCCTGGTTCTTTTCCTGTATGAGCTCAAGAACCTTCATGAAGAGCTTTTTTTTTTCATTTAAGAAAAGACATCGGTTCTCAGACTTGTGTTGTTGCTTCACCACCCTCCTCTTGTGCTTATTGGAGAGGCCTTGTCGGTTACCCCTGATCCTTCTTTTCTGATTCAATACCTTTTCCCTTTTGATGAGGCTCTCTTAGGTGTGTTGGAATTTTTTCGGTCCAGGTCTCGATGGTTTGTCTTCGTGCTGTCGTTGCAAACTCCTACCGTCTTCACCTGAATAGAGCGCCCAGTAATTATTGCCGCATCTGGACTGAAAGTAGCACCAAATACTGCTATAATGAACCGCCGTTCTATTCGGGTGGAGACGGTAGTTTGTATGTTTTCCTCGGATGCACCACGGGTGCTAGGGTACTGGGAGTGTGCAAAGATGGGCACGTGTGAGCTGCCATTCCGTCTTGAAAGGTTTGAGGTGCTGTTTATTTATGTGTAGTCGGGAGTCTGGTATGATTGGTTGCATGTGCTATAAGTGTTGTGTTGATCCCTGATGTTTTGCTTGGCTTGCTTCGCACAGCTGTTCAAATTATATAATTATCTTATTATATCATTAGCAACGCTTTCTCTGAGTTGTGTTTGAAGAAAATTGGACCGAAGCTGGTGGGCCAGGTGCAGGCGCACATGTTTGTGTTCTTGCTATGGTTCCTGGTCTTGCGAAGAGAAACGGATTCATCCGCCGTGAAGGGTAACCACCACGGTATGTGAACTCCTATCGTTCCTCGTGTATTGCAAAGAGAATGGAGTCGTCGGTCACAAGGGGTACCTGCCAGTATGCCAGGGAGATAAGTGGTTCAGTCTTTGAGTTGATGATGGACAGCCGGACAACGGCGGTGCAAAAGAAGGCTGCAAAGTTTTCAGCATGTCTTCGCTGGGGACCCTCAAGCTGTGAAAATCCTTTTCGAGCAAGCTGTGGGGATTCTTTTCAGAATCTGTGGTTGTGACGTTTCCGGCACGTCGTATCTGCCAACTCTCACCTTAGCGTTCATCTTTAGACAGCCTCACACTAAGTCTTGCGGGGCACAAGATAACATACCGCAGGAAGCGTCTAGTATTGGCATGTCGTCTCTGTGGGCTCTCACCGCAGAGCACCAGTACACCACACATCGGTCCGCGGGTGTCAGCATGAAACCCGCACCGCTTCGGAGGCCGCCAATTTTTGTTTTCGACGGCGCGGAGGGAGGGTTGGTGTTTTTAGTTTTGCTTGTGGCGACAAAGAACTTTCTGCATGGTGCGGGGTGTGTACTCGCGGTTTAAGGTTCATCTTTAGACAGCCTCACACTTGTAGAGCGCACAGGATAATACACTCCAGGACGATGTACTTTGCGGATGTGAAATGGTGTACTACGCTCTGTAGTGGCATAACGCCAAGCACTTAGCGAGATTATGAGGCTCGGATTCAGGGCCTTAGGATGCTTTTTGGACTTTTATCTTCATCTCTTTGTGAAGTTGTGATTGGATTGAAACGATGATGTTTGAGAGATGGAATTAGCACGCAATAGAGCGAGACCTGAAGCGACACACCATGCTTCATGCAACCGTCGCGTTTCAGCCGGGCCGACATTCATTCTGGGTACCTGTACTTCCTTTACGACATGCCTGGTTTAGCTCCAGGATCGTCACCTCTCTGGTCATGCCCTTCGTTACTGTCGAACGTCACCCGTCCCTCACACTCTTTATGGAACATAATAAGAGGAGGCACACTTGTTCTTTCTCAACCAAGACCGTTATGTGTTGTCTCTCTGGTCAGAGTAGTTTCTTCGTGCTCTGTGGGAGTGCCCGTGCTGCCTGCTCTTCATACGAAATCTGTGGTTCAAATGTCTCATTTGCATCGAGAATCGTTGCTTGGAGGCTTGTGACATATGTCCAGCTCTATCAGTGATGCCAAGCTTGGGACGGCTGGGGACGCTTTTGGTCGATTAGGCTTATGGCTTTCGATACATGTTGCACCGGTGGCTATGGCTTCGATACGTGTTGAAGAGTTGAAGTCGATATTCTTGCGGGAACTGGACGGCTTTCGATTGACAATAAAATTGAATAAGAATCTGCAACAAGTCCACTTCGCGTCCTTATGCATCAAGAACACCCGAGAGATCCTGTGGACTGGCACTGGATACGAAAAAAGAAAACATCATACAAACCGAGGCAAGTGCGGCGTGAAGCAAGCACCTTGAGGTTCACTTGCGCCGTGCCACACATGGTAGATTGGCTATGCAGAGAGAGACAGTATCTGTATGGTGCTTATCTTGGGGAAGGAGATTCTGTGGACTTGTCGTCGTGCCCGCAGATGAATTATAAGTTATAGAATGGATGCTAGTAATGTAGTTTCTTCTGCCATTATGTCATTTACATTCAGAATGGAGCTTGCAGGAAAGGGAAGGACACACGCCGGTCGACTAGCGTCTTAAGTGAACCAGCAGCTTAAGTGGACCAGCGTCGTATGCAGGGAGGTAATTAGGGAGTCGGGATTGCCGGTCATTCATGGTGGACAATTAGTTTGGCTTCTTGCCTTTACGGACGGACGGGATAGGAGAGCTGAATCAGAGTATAGACTCCTGTTGAGTATCTTCCTTTACGGGGGAGGGTGGGCTTGTCTTCTTCTTGACTTCTCTCATGCTATTTTCTCTCCTTCGCTCCCTTTCGTTATCTACTCTATTTCAACATACATCAGATATGCTGATGCGGCAGCGATGTGTTGCTGTGCACAATGCTCCATGCACACACGCGGCTCGCGTCATCATTGGGTTGTCCGCCGATGAAAGTGGTAAGCTCGTTGCCGTGTCAGAGGAGTAATTTCTGACCTTATTACTTTTTTTTTTTTTTTTTTTTTTAGGACCTTGTTACTTCCCTATATGCGGAAAAGTCCTAACCTATTTATTGAATGAATTTCATGGGGCCTGTCTCTTATACACATCTAGATGTGTATAAGAGACAACAATGGATAATCCGCAGGAAACCAACATATGTCTATGTAGCATCCTCAGCCTCAGAGACTTATACGTGAAGAGTCCGAACAAAAAACAGAGTCAAACCAACATACGTCTGTGTAACATCCTCAGCCTCAGAGACTATACGTGAAGAGTCCGAACAAAAAACAGAGTCAATTCACATTCTGTAATATGATATCACGCTGTGTGTGTGTGTGTGTGTGTGTGTGTTTGTGTGTGTGTGTGTGTGTGTGTGTGTGTGTGTGTGCATGTTGTGTTCCGTCATCTTCGGAACACACAACCCCATGAAGAAAGCATGACTGTGCCAGTTGGACTTTGATGGATTCATCAGGATGTTCAGTCGTCGTGTGTGTGCGTGTGCTCGCACACACTCGAGTGTGCACCTCATTGAATGAACCTAACATGCACACTCGTGTGAGTGCTTACCTCGTTGAATGGACCTAATGCAGAATGGCATACCAGTCGCTAGAAATGAAGGGTTTTTATTGGGGTTGTACTTCGATGAGAGAGTCGGATCGGTGCGTGATGACTCAGTGCCCAGTGCTTCTGCAGTTGGAAGTTGGTTGTAGGGAGGTCCCACTACGATATCTCATGTTTTCTGTGCTGCTGTAACCTGCAGGTGTCGCGCAGGAGCCGGTGGACCCTTCTCGCTGGCAGGTCGTAAAGGAAGGACTTTGCTGGATCTGCTGTGACCGTCAGATCGACTCCCTCTTGTACAGGTGGGCTCCTCTGTCATAAATGCTCGCTCGTCATCTCAGGCCTGCTCTCCCCCCCAACCCCCATTCTATCCCTGCTTTTTTCCCCTCATCGTTGCCCCTTCTTTCCCCTGCCCTCTGTGGCCCCTGTTTCCCCCCTTTTTTCTTACATCTCCGTGGCTTGGTTTTGGATTTGTCGTAGAGTCTTTTGGCTTGCTTTGAAGGGAAGGAGATTTCTCACCGGCGTCTCCATTTTTTATTTATTTATTTTTTTTTGTACCACTGGTCGAAGAATTGGTATCGGAAAATGAACGAGTCGTCCGTACAGTTGTTTTTCTTGGGAACGTCTGTCGAAATGGGAAGGCCGAGGCAGCCCCAGACACGAAAATGCGGTCAAATATGTTGAAAATAGTGCTACCAGTGGTGGTGTGAATACGCCCTCCGAATCGTACATTGCTGCTTCCTTCTTCAGGTGTAATGTTTGTTCCCTCTGTTGTGCAGGGGCACGATCTTTGTCTTTCGACGCTCTCTCTCTTTTTTTTTTTTTTTTTTTTTTTTTAATGAAAAAGGGCCTATGGCCTTCAGATATCATATAATTGAACTGACCGGCCGCAGATAAAGCAGAATTGTTGTGATTCCATCTGGATTCGAACTTGGGTCTGTATTTCACATTGTCGTGGGTGTACGTACCAACTGGGCTATAGCCCTGCCAGTGACTGTCTCTTCTACCATCTGTTCTCCACGATTTCTCCACCCTCGTTACTTCACTGTCAGACCTTGTGTCTTGTTATTTGTATGTTTGCTTGTTGCGCCCTTGGTGCAAACTGAGGAGATGAGATTTTGATATGTCAACATGATTGACACCTGCGTGCTCGTTGCTTCACCATCGGACCTCCTTATGTCGTGTTATTTGTATGTTGCGTCCTTGGTGCAAACTGTGAGATGAGAGGAGATTTTGATGCGTCAATACGCGACTCCAACCTGGGTGCTGGTGACTTCACCCTCAAGCCTTATGTCTTGTTATCTGTATGTTCTATCCTTAGCGCAAACTGAGTAGATTAGATTCCGATGTGTCAGCGGGATTCGAACCTGGGTGCATCCTTTGTCCATTTCGGTGGAAAGTGTGTCTGCGAGAGTGAGAGCTTACCAACGAGCCGAGCTCAATTGGAACACACACTTGAATTGTAGAGTTAAACACCTGAGTTCGAATCCAGATGAAGTCGATGGACGGCTGAAATCCAGTCATTCTGAAGTACCGGGGCCTGGTCAGTTTGACAGTGATATCTCAAGGCCGTCGCCCTTTTCAACAAAGAAAAAAGAGGAAAAAAAGAAGAAAAGAGGGCGTAAATGCATCCGCCCCTTCTTCCCCAGCTTTCCCTGCCGTGTGGAATCCCAGTGATGAGGCAACTGAGCGCTAGCTGCTTCACGTGGTTTGTGCTTCTACTGGATCTGGGTCCCTACAAGCATGGTCCCGTGGTCCCATGGACGTGGAGTTGGAACCACTCAGTGGTCTGAATGGACCCAAGGTCCAACGCATGGTCCCACAGACACATGTCTTGGAACCAAGGCGTTTTTTTGGGGAGCGTACAATTCGTCTCCTGTTTGTGTCTGGAGTGTTCATTGCGTCTTTTTATGTTTCATGGATGAAAGGTACTTTCTGAGAAAGAGGGTTTCGGTCCGGATGAGGCCGTCGCGTATTTGGCATACTTGACGGAAATTTCACTACTGTTGATCTGTTGATTAGTAGGAGTTGTCTATCGTCTTGGCTTTGTGCTGGGTCCCTCACCTTGCTTGTTCTTCTTTCCTTCGGTGGCAGGTGCGGACATATGTGCATGTGCTCGACATGTGCGAAGGAGTTGCAAGGCATAAGCGGGAAGTGTCCGATGTGTAGAGCGCCCATCTTGGAGGTTGTGCGGGCTTTTCGCGCAACGTAACTCGCTGGGAACGGTCTTCTCGTGACACGGACGTCCTTCCGGTGACAGGGTTGTCCTCTACTACATGACTATGACTTATGGCTCACTGTGAAAGGTACCGTAGTTTTGAAATGAAATGCCCCACACCAAGCAGATATTGTGTGCGGTGGGGGTCTGTTTGCTAGGGTTGGGGATGTGGGTGGCTTGTTTTGAGGAGTAGAGAAGAGAGAGGGTGGTGTAGGTGGGTGTAGGCGCTGAATTGCTGCGGTGTTCGGTGAATTGTATTCTAAATTCTACTAAGATAATAGTGCATGGAACCTGAAATGTAATTGTGCTGTGTTGTTTAGATGGGTTGCAAGGGATCATTCCAGGGAGGCAGGTGGAGACCTGGGAGATGTGTGCAAATAATGGGCAAAGCCCTCCGCTTCTCTATTGCAAGGGTGCTTGTAAATTGTTTAAGCTTTTGCTATCAGGTTTTATGACAAGGCTCGAACATACTCTGCGTGAGCATGCAGCCTTGGTCGTTATTCGCGCGCACACACACACACACACACACACACACACACACACACACACACACATACACACACACACACACACACACGTACACAGAGAGAGAGAGAGAGGGAGAGAGAGAGAGGGAGGGAGAGAGAGAGGCTGGACCATACTCTGCGTGAGCGTGCAGCCTTGGTCGTTTTTTGCACACGAGAGGGAGAGAGAGAGGCTAGAACATACTCTGCGTGAGTGTGCAGCCGTGGTCGTTATTTGCACACACACACACACACACACACACACACACACACACACACACA